AGTGGGGTCTACTACTTACTTTACTTTACTTCGGCTATATCCTACGGGAGGATGAGCCGGCTTCATGAAAATCTCGAATCATCTCTGCCCAGGCGCGGCGATCTGATGCAAGGTTATGCGACAGGGTTATCCAATTCTTGTTCCACAGACGGAGTCCGTAGACGGTTTGTAGCCCCAGGCACTTCATATCAGCCTTGACTGTACCAAGCCCTGTTTTCAACTGTCCACCCCTGCGACATCGCCAAGATGGAAATGGCGAGGGATTTGGAATTGATTTGACCAGATCGTCATCTGGTCGGCGCAGAACATGGCCAAACCACCGAAGGCGACGTTGTTGGACCAGTACTGGAATTTGGTTGATGTTGTAGAGAGTTCATGAAGTTTCATGGGAATTAGGTCCGAGTGATGTCCCCAGCATCGCTCGGCCTTTGTTTGAGAGTGCAGCTCTAGCCTTTACACAACCAAGTGTGACCTACAAGGCAGTAGGAGTGGAGTAGGGAGTCCACTATCCATTGACAGCCGGTGACCGGAGTCCGGTTCATACGCCTTTTGAATGGGGCCTGATATCCATGGCATCCAATAAGCGCTTTTTCCCTACCTCTGCCGGTTAGCTTCATAAGCCAGTCATTGGAGGTTTGGAATCAGGGTTTAGCCACCTCCCCTAGACTGTCATCCAATGGACAGTCAACCCGGTGAAGAGCGCCGGGCATCCGCTACAGTAAGTTATATTTACTGATGACCACATTTCGAGTACAATCTATGCCTGCTCATAATCATCATATCAAAGCACTACGCACACAACTTTCTTGCTTCATTCATATAAATGACTAAAACTGATGACTAGATATTTGAATAAAATCAGTAATATAAGATAATGTACCTTCAGAAATAATATGACAACAATAGTGGTGAAACTAATAATGATAATAAATAAATAAGAAAAAAAAGTACAAGGCTTCTACAGCTTAACCATATATGCAGGAGACATCTGAGACCCTCCTGACGTAGGATTCTCAACAAATCAGGAATTACAGTGGCATTTAAACCTACAAACTCACTCAGACTGGACAACCTCTTCAGGGTTAAAAGACCCAGTAGACCCAATATTTTTTTGTTTTTTATTTCCTTCGCGTTCCCAGTGGAACATAGGGCTCCAAGCTGTAGGATTGAAGATTCCGTAGCAGTGTTAATTTTTTGCAGGATGGGGTTGCTAGCCACCTCATGCCCAACCTTTCCTTCTTACCAGTTTCACTACTGGCTTAGCGAGGAAAAGGTGTGCGTCGGAAGCCGGGACTCGAACCTCGGACCATTTGCATGGTCGGTGAGCGTCTTAACCGCTGTGCCACCGACGCGCATGAACATAATTGCATAGTGGCTTGCAAAAATTTGAAGGTAGACTGAAGTAAACGTCGTAGACTCAATTAAACAGAATAATATAATTTACAAAATACCTTGCACTGACTGTGAGTTAAGTCAACTTCATAGGTCAAACTAGTAGGTCGGGGAGAGTCAGATTTTTGCAATTGCATTGCATGCATTAACACAAGAACACACAAAAGCATGGGCGAGTGTTGAAATTCTAAAAGGCATTATAGGGAGGTGGACAGACATTGATCACTATATTCTGATTCATTGAGTTCATACCCAACACATGCAATAAAAGTTAATTTACTCGATGGAAATACCAGAGATATGCATGGAAGATATTATTATTACCACCAGTCAGTCAAATCAGAAGAAGATAATAAATAATCTTAAATTGTATTTTATTCCTCTTCAAACACATTATAACATTCTAACAATTTATTTATTTATTTTACTATAAAAGCATCTTATTTCTCATCTGATTCTATTTGATTGATAACATCAATAATATTTCTGAAAGTAATTTATCTTACACTGGTTTTATTCAAATATCTAATCATCAATAGTTTTTCACATGAAACAAGAAAGTTGTGTGAGTAACTTGTTATGATATGATTGTAAGCGGTAATAAATTATGCTGGAAGTGGATGGTCATTAGTAAATATTACTTACTGTATAACAACACTGTGAGATTTTTCATCAAAATAAAATCTTATCCAAAATGAAGTTATACTCTACCATCACAGTACCATCAAAGTTTTATACTTATATCACTGTAGTATCGCCTTTACCTGTTCATTATAATGACAAATCATCTATCTTTCTGTAGTGTTGTCTTAATGCCATTGATTCACTTTTGTTTATATATTCAGCAAATTTGACTTGTGATTTATATAAGTAAAACAGAGAAGTTTTGTGTGTCTAAGTGTCACATTCATCACTTCGGTTGTCACAAACTTTAACGGCTGAAACTATTTCGAGCGTCGGATGATCAGCGTTGGCTTAGATTACATTTAATTCCCTTTTATATGGGCTGATAGCTTACAATCACATTGCGCGAGATTCAATACCACATTGGAATACCATCCCAAGCAAAATACTAAGCCGCATCATCCTGGAGAGAATCAAACATGCCAAACTGGATGGAAAAAAACAGCGACCGGAACTAGCTGGATTCAAAAGAAACAAGTCATGTATTGATCAACTGGCCACACTACGGATCATCATTGAACAAAGCTTGGAATGGCAGTCACACCTCGTTGTATCTCAAAGTCATCGACTTTGAAAAGGTCTTCAACAGTACGGCGTCAATCGAGAGGTCATTTGGAAACTACTTCGACAACTATACATCTCATCCAACAGTTGTACGACAATGCTGCATGAAAAGTAATCCACAACGGGAAATTTACAGAAGCCTTCAAAGTAAGGACGGGAGTGAGGCAAGGCTGTCTACTATCGCCAATGATCTTCCTGATTGCAGGGGATTTTATAGTGCGACAAAAAACGGGTAGTGAGGAAAAAGGTATAAAATGGACTCACACAAAAAACTTGAAGGGTCTGAATTTCACCGATGTCATATATATGTCTGATTTCTCACAAACTGGAATATGTGCAAGTGAAAAGCGACAAGTTGGCAGGAGAAGCATCCAGAGAAGAAAGGACTTCCTTCAGGTCAACATAGAGAAAACAGATGAAGGTGATGAAGATTCCTGGCCAACAACAACAGAAACAACAATCACCATAACTAGGAGGAACCTGAAAGAAACAATCTCCTTCACCTAACTACTTAAATGAGAAGCATCATTTTAACTACGTAGGAACTGATGAGGATATCATAGCAAGGATCGGAAAAGGAAGATAAGCTTTCGTTACTCTTAAGTCTGTGTGGAGGTCAACAGCACTCCTCATCATCAAAAATAACATCCGGATTTTCAACTCCAATGTGAAGTCAGTCAGTGCTACTATACGGATCACAGACTGCCACTGCGCGTCATAAACAGCATCTCAAACAAACTACAGACCTTCATTAACAGTTGTCTTCGCTCAATACTTCACTCAAGATCAGATGGCCGGCCAGAAAAGATCACCAACAGGGATCTCTGTCAATGAGCCGACCAACTCAGCAGGAACCGATTGTGCAGCAAATAGGCAGGAAGAAATGGAGATGGATTGGCTGGCCATACTCTGAGAGAACAATCCATCAAGTGACATCACTAGACAAGCCATTGCTCGAGTGGAACCGGGCCGAAAGGGAAGTGGCGAGTTTGTCGGCATCGCAAGGGTGACTTGGAGGAGGTCATGTGAAGAGGAGATGAAATCATGTGGGGAGACTTGGAGCGAGGTGAAGACATTGGCAGAAAACCGAAGGCAATGGAGGTGCGCAGCTGAAGCCCTATGTTCTTCTAGGAATGAAAGGATAAAATAATAATAATAGTAATTGGAATACCTTACATAGGATATGCCGTGAGAGCTGGCTGTTGGCCAAAATTAGCAGACCTAACGTGGGCAAATGTGATTCGCAGATAGATGGCTCCACTTTTCAATGGTTACCGGAAGCAACCAATCAGAAGACTGCGTTCGTGTACTTGAATAAGCTACAATAATTTATGTGAAATATATATATAAATACGTGTTGATTTTCGTAATAAAACGATCTGCTGCCGGCCCTTGTCTTCTGTTGTTACAGTAAGACTAATGAAAGTTGAAAAGATCTAGGTTGAAGCATCTTTCCACTCTGTTTCTCTCTCTTATAATCCACTCAAAATAAAATAATGTATGATAATAGAATTGAACTTGAAAACAAGAAAAAAATGGAACTTTAGAATTAGGGAAATATATCTGATAATACAATAAATGTAGATATATATATTTATATTAATATAAAATAAATTATCAACTAAGTAGTATGGAAAAGATAAGTGGATAAATGCATTTTCATGAAAGACACATATATACATTGACTTGCCATCTTTGCTTTTTCTTTCTTTTTGTTCAAGAGATGTGCAGATAACAGAAGTAGGCCTACTTGCTCAACATATTCATGAAGGCTAATATTTTTGAACACCATAGTTCATATGATAAACAGGGAATGTGTTGAAGGAAGGAGTGACAGTGCCAGGGAGAGATTGAGTGAGAGAGAGAAAGAGTGTGAGGGTAGCAGAAAGCGAAGAGTCCACCCCACCCCCCCCCCACAGAAAAAAAATTGAGGAATTTTTTAGGATTATTCCAATGAAATCAATAAATAAATACATAAATAAATAAAATATCACTGGAGGATTGTTGCAATGTCAATCCTCCGCGATATTGGTTACATCTACTAATGATACTGATGTGTGTTTGCAAGTGTGTCTGTGTGTGTGTGTGTCTGTGGTGGCAGGGTGGATGTGGTTTGCGATTGTCATCTGTGAAGGAGTTGGCCGGTTGGTCAACTGGTTATTTGATCATGCTGAATGTTCGTTTCGAAATAGGTGAAAAAAAATCGATATCGACCGATATATGCAGTGGAGAGATTCAATAAGGCGTTGTTACGAGAAAGAGAGTTGACAGTTACATGATCAGAGGAGGATACTTTCGGGTATTTGTTTTCTTCTTCTATTCAGGTTCTTCTCAGAGGAATTCCATCTCCCCACTTCTTCTTATTTCTGATTCAATGCGATGTGAACTAATATTTGACTAGCTAACATTGGATTTCTATACACCAGTAGACCTTGACGATTACAACATTTTGATAGGTTCGATGAATTGACAGTCTGTAAGTAAGAGACATACACAGAGAGAAGAAGAAATGAACACAGAGGTAGTCATAAAGGTGTTTGTCAGTAGATCGATTGATATGGTGCCCCAAAGTCGTCATTTACCTCAATTACTAGTGTTGTCGATGTGGTACCTGAATTCATATAAGAAGTTGTTTAAATCCATCTTCTCATCAGGTAGGACTACAAGTCAGCATAGAAGATTATATGCTAGTACGAGCAAGTACAAAAATGCAAAGATACTTTAATCGAACCATCATCTGTGTGACAGAGATACACCCTCTTAGGTGTAAAATCCAAAAACTTCCTATGCAATTAGTGGAAATAATTTTGGCTGTTTGATCGTTACCTATTTTTAGTTTATATGATGATACTATTTCAATGATCTTATAATTTCAACTACCAACATATTCCAAGAAACCTGTGCCTTAAGAGGAGGGAAATATTCTAAGAGTGCAATTACTATACATATTCCATTATGGCTAAAATTTGTTTTGATAAAGTCTCACAGTGTTATACAGTAATAATTACCGAGCACAATTTATTACCTGCTCATAATCATATCAAGGCACTACTCACACACAACTTTCTAACTTCTTTTATATAATTCCATCATTATTTCAGTTCATCGCTTGATTTGATTGGTAGTAGTATTTTCCATATTTCCGGTATGAGTGATGAATCATTCCTATTGCATGTGTTTGGTGTGTAGACTCGATGAACAAGGACCCAGTAATCGACCTCTCTCTATCTCTACCTACCTAGATTACTTTTTAGAATTTTAACCCTCTCCCATCCTATTGTGTGGTTGTGTGTTAATGCATGCAGTGCGATCGCTGAGCTTCTTTCTAAATTACTTATCTTCGCGAATGGGATCAATCATTTTGAACTTAGTTAAATTCTTATGTTCTGATTATTTCACTACCCCCGAACTACTAGTTTGACTCTCCTATGTAGTTGACTAAACTAACTCACAGTCATTGTAGGGTATTTTGTAAATTATATTATTTTGTCTAATTGGGTCAACCGACAGTGTCTTTTAGCCTACAGAGCTTGTCCAGTCTGAATGAGTTTGTAGGTTTGAATCCCATTCTAATTCCTGCTTTGTTGAGAATCCCATGTACGGTCTTAGATGTCCTCTCCTTATATGGTATAACTGTAGATGCCTTATATTCTTTCTTATTTATGCTATTATTACTAGTTTTACAATTAATTTTGTTTTTCTTTTGGCCATTTTCAATGTTTCTAATGAATTTTATGAGATAGTTATTTAACACCAACCAACGCTTCTTCTATCTGTTTTATTTCATCATTTAGGTCTTTTCTTATGCTACTTAGTGTAATTGCTCGGTTTGTTAGACACACTTAACTAAACCTGCCTTTACAGACAACGAACGGATGAGACGAATTAAAGAGGTCTAAATACCTATTAGAATGAGTTGGTTTTTTATAAACACTAGTGTGTAGTTCGCCTTCTTCTATTCGTTTTATTTTACAATCATTCATCACGGATAATTCTCCTTGTTCATTTTCCGATTCAAAGGTGAATTTTATTCCCTCTACTAGTGAGTTTATGTGTTTCAAGAAGCTAGAGAGAGATATGTTCTGATTTTAACACTGTGAATGTGTCAGTCATCCACATATGTCCACCATATTTTTGGAGTAGGATCAAACGTATTGAGAGCACTACTTTCCAGCTGTCCATAAATATGTCTGATACGATAGGGGATATTGGTGTTCCATCCCATTGCTACACCTTCTGTTTGTCTATATATTTTGCCTTGGAACTTAAAGATGGTAGATGTGAGACATAACTGAATTCCTAAAATAATTTGTTCAATGGACAGCTTTGTCCTATGACTCAGTTCAGGATCCGCAGTTAGTTCTTTTTTAACTGCTTCTAAGACCATATTAACTGGTAAATTAGTATAAAGACTAGTTATATCAAAACTAACCATTTTTTCATCATTCTCTAGTTGAATGTCATTTAGTTTATTTTTCATCTCATATGAATTAGTTGGTCAGCCTAGAGTTTGAACGATTTCTGATGCGGCATAGTATTAGAGCTAAGTGTTTTGATAATTCCTAATTAGGGGGTATTTCTGAAGTCTACTTTTGGTCGTATGGGGTAACCTGGCTTATGTATTTTCATAGTACCCCATAAATTCTATTAGCATTATTAAGTTTCAGGCATTAAATTAAACCATTTTGACTCACCCAGTGATGGCTTCATTCTGTGTATTAGTTCTGCTGTAGATTTCTTAACCTTATTCATTATTGTGTCTACAGGCTTCTTAATTTCTTCATTTGGACCCGTTTGAATATGTTCAGTAACTTTTTTGATATAGTCAGATTTATTCAAAACTACAGTGGCGTTGTCTTTGTCAGCTTTTGCGATGACAATGTTTTTATCCTGTTTTAGAATAATTAAAGCTTCTCTTTCCGATTTTGTTAAGTTTGATTTTGTTTTGTTTTGAATTTTCAGGGTTAGTGCACATTGTGCTCAAACGTCTTCTGCTGTCGTCTTATCTATTGAGCTTGGTGCTACTTCTATGTTAGGAACGACATCCTCTGGTTTTAATTTATTAACTGTTACGTTGAAATTTAGTCCTTTCTCAAGTACTTTTATCTCACTAGAGCTTAGTTCCCATGATGAGAGGTTGATCACCCACTTTGTTCTGTCAATATAAGATGAAGCATGGGGAGAGAAAGAGAGAGGTTGATTACTAAATCCTGGTTCATCGAGTCTACACACCCAACACATGCAATAGGAATAACTCATCACTCATACCGGAAATATGGAGAATACACTACCAATCAAATCGAGCGATGAACTGAAATAATGATGGAATTATATAAAAGAAGTTAGAAAGTTGTGTGTGGGTAGTGCCTTGATATGATTATGAGCAGGGTAATAAATTGTGCTCGGTAATTATTACTGTATAACACCACAGTGAGACTTTATCAAAACAAATTTTAGCTACAGTGTACAAGTTTCATTCCTAAACCAGACATATTGTTGATACCGGACATATCGTAGAGATTTCTAAGTCCTTTAACATGTTAAATAGACAAAGGAGAACAAATTTACTACGATTTGCTGAAGCGATCGCAATCGAACAATTCAAACCAACCAGACTTATGCGTACAGAAAGAGAGTGGGATTAATATTTCACTCCCATGGTAACTGAATTTTGATTTTGATAATACATTCATAATTAGTCACCTAATTCACCGATCTCAATTCAGTGAGCAAATCTCAATCTTGTAAGCTGTGAGTGCGTTTAATTGGTGGCTGGTGGCTGGCAGTGGAATCCAGGATGCGCATTTCGTCCAATTTGAGACTCAACAGTGAATGATGGTGTTCCCACTGAGGCTGGAACCCAGTTCCCATAGTTTCAAACGCCAAAGCGTTACCCACTAGACTACTTGGGTCACGAGAGCTGACCACCTCTTCTGCAACGGGTCATAATAATTATTGAATTGAATTTCAGATTTTCTCATCGATTGATTGGACCGAAGTGCTCAGTCTCAGGTTGACAGTCTGTTGGCTTCTTGTGAAGATAATTCAACGATGTCTGGGCATCCAGTTGACAAGTTCCAAATAGGACGAAATGCGCATCCTGGCTAGATCCCACTGCTAGTCACTATCCACCAATTAAATACTAACTAAATACCCAGAAGTAGTACAGAAGATTTTCAAACTATTTTCAGATTGATGAAGGCGTATCTTGTCCTGCCTTTCCGATTCTAACTTTGACATTTACATCGGTTCCGTGCGGCTGTAGTTGAAACGACGCTTCCTAGCCAGACAAGTAAGAAGGTAACCTTAACCTGTTAAATGTCTCCTTTTCATGTAAGTTTATGAACAATTTTAGTGTCTGCTGCAGACTACTTCTAGGAATCGAATGAAATCAAGATGTTCGGCTGAAGTGCTCAATGTCTCACACTCAGAATGCAAGGGAATGATAGTAATCATCAATACAAGTGCCTCGGTGGCATAGCTGTTAGGACGCTCGCCGATCATGCACATGGTCAGGGGTTCGATCCCCGGTCGAAAAGGCACTCCTTTACCTCGCTAAGTCAGAAATAATGCGGGTCAAGAGGAAGGGTTGGGCATGAGGCCAGCAACCCCATTGTGAAAAATAAAACACTACTACAGAAACTTCAAGCCCCTAGCTTGAAGCCCTATGTCCCTCTGGGGAACTTCAAGGAAGGATAAAATCCATAAAAGTAGATATAAACAAAACAAGGCAAGCTCGTATACCATTCAGCCACTGGGACCCGATTCAATGGCCAGCTCATGAATTCTAACTTCTACCAATTCGTGATTTAGCGCGACCCTAACCATTGTGCGTACTGCCGATGATTCCTGAAACTAGGATGAAACAGCAGCTGTCCAGTACTCCCTGGCTTTCAATGGTTCTCTAACTGATATCAATCCATGATCAACTCGTAAAAACATAAACAAATACAATTTGAGAAAAAAAATGACCTTACCTGAATCTCATCTGTTGATTTTGTAATTTTATTATAAGTTATTTGAAATTTGAACAAATTATTCAATATTATTTGTCTAACACTATCCAAATGGTTTGGCATAGATTGTATTGATGCTTTAACCGATTCTAAAGCTGATTTCAATTGGATAATTCCACCGCCTAATGAAGAGATAATTGTATGCGGACCACATGTATCCCAGACAAATGTATTCGGCTAAAAGAACAAAAAGCAGGCAGACAGAGAGATAGAGACAGTGAGAAATTCATTGGAGAATGTAAAACAAAATAAACCAAAAAAAATGTGTTAAAAAAATTATATATGCAGTCTGTTTAAAGCGTTTAACAAAGTTAGACCAATATTTGTAAGTCCGAGGTCAAATTTTGATCACAGCTCATCTAATTTTGATGGCATGGAGGATTTCATCATGAGCTGACATTATTTAGAAAACCACTGGAAAACCTGCAGGGAGTACTGGGCATCTGTTTCATCTGTCCTAGTTTGGGACTCTTCACCGGTACGCACCCACCCGCCAAGGTTCGAACCCAGGAGCATCTGGTTACAAAGCTAGCGAGCTCGTAGACCACTGAGCCACTGGGATCCAATCCAATGGTCCTTGAATTCTAACTTCTGCCGAGAATTCACGACATAGTGCAACCATTTCGCAATGCCTTTTTCGATGAGTTACCGCCTTATCTTCAACCTGCTGTACCCTACTGGTCACGGCTTTCCACTAGAACCCTGGGTTAACTACCTGAATAGGACCAGTCGCTAGTGAGCATCAGATTAATTAATTTTCAAGTATTGATTTTGAAGGGATTTTGTTTGATTGCATACTTGTTGATAGTTGTTTTATGACTCATGATTGGATAAAGTTTTTAAAAACAAGAGATGTTCCTTTTATATTTATAAACCTCTGTTATGTTAATTTCGATTAATTACCCTGAAGATGTTCGGACCAGATTAACGAACTCAGGAAACGTTGGAATTAGTCATTTCCATCCGGGTTGAGATTTCACAAATATAGTTTGTTTTTACAAATGTTTACTTCTCACTTGTCGCCAAAATATCTTGAAACTATTCTGTCAAATCTTGATGACAGTTCATTTATATAAATAAATAGTATCATTCACAGGGAGTAAAAGAATTTACGTTATTGAGAATGTTATATGACAATCAATATACTTGGTAGTTGTACTAACGAATTTTATACCTATTCGATTCGCTAGACTGCTATTCGAAGCACTCTTAGCAACAACAGAGACCACGAAACAATACCACTGGAACAGCAATGCAAGTAGACAAGAAGAGAAGACAGACCATTGATGTAGAAAGTTTTCATTGTCTTATATCGACAGTGAAAATTGGTTGACAGCGCTTGCGAATATGTGGACTGTTCGAATGACCTTGAGAGACATTAATCACATTGATAAATTAATACAGCCACCAACCAATACGATTCCAAGGTTAGAAGTGGGGTGGAGGAAATACAAATGTAACAACAGAAGACAAGAACCAGGAGACGGATCGTTTATTAAGGAAAATCAACACATATTTGCATATTTTCATGTACATTATTATAGATTATTGTTAGAAGAAAAACACAGTCTTCTGATTGGTGGTTGTTTCTCACAGAAAGTTAACCTTGCATCTCTTTGTGGCTGTTTCTTGAATGTCAGACCATCTATATGTTAACTGTATCTGCCTACGCAAAGTCTGCTGTGGTTGGTTGTTGAGTCAGTCTTTGTTCTTATTTTTCTCATGACCAATACTGGGGATGTAAATATTGACGTAAATTACTGTTTACCCATTTTTGCTAGCAACCAGCTCCCACCACACAACCACCAGTGTAAAGATAAATGTAGTATTTTAGGAAAAGTAGTCCTATTATAACGGAATGATTTGGGAGCCATCGGTTGTTATCATCTCGAGGACTTCATAACAGCCGAGCAGTCTACATCTGCCTACATAGATGAAACCAGCTGTCAAAGATTTCATGGAATGTTCCCAGATTTTGGTCTGACTGCGACTTCCTCTTTTTCAAATTAAGCCTGTGCAAGATTATAGTGTTGGGATATGGAAAACGAAACCTTGTCATGCGTTCATATGTCCTAGTTATTTCAATAAATGTAGCTTCATAATCTCACAGACTGACTACCACTCCTTACATAAAATTCACTATATGTCTCTTCATTCTCTCTGTGTGGAGACTCTGTCGCCATACTGGTGTCGTTGGTTCTCGGAATGGCGGCAATGCGTTTTCCTTAGCAATCTTCAGTGTTGTTATTGGTGATTTCAAATTACTCTCTATGACCCTTACTGCAACTTTCCCGTCTAGCAGCAGGTTCTCCTTGAAGCGGCGTATAATATGCAAACTGATCACCTCGGTATAGTGTCTATCAAAAGCCAAAGGGGTCAGTTCTTGTAGACACCATAAATACCCGTCAGCACTTTCGTCGCGGCGCTTAATGTAGGCATAAAAGGTGGCTCGATGCTCGATGTGTGAACGTAAGCAATGCTTCCACATTAGCAGCGTCTGAAATAGTATTGCGGGCCATCTTAAAACGTTTTAAAGTGGGTAGTGAGAGAGAGGATATTACAACGCTAGCTTTTTGTTCCTCATCGAGCAGTTGTATATACCACTGGCAATGCTCCTCACATAAGGTAAACGATTCGCCTAGGACGAACTCGTCCTATTATTTTTTTTGATTACAGCTTGATTCCACACTGTATTTTTGGTACAAGTATGGAATTTTCAGCATGGATATCGGTAGCCCAAATTTCGCAGGCCGACCATACATATCAGGTATGCATCGGCGTGGGCTCGAACCTCGGAACATGTGCATGGTCGGCGAGAGTCCTAACCACTGTGCCACCTATGCCTCCTCCACCTTCAATTCGCCAGTCCCCTGATGTTCTTCCCTGTCAGTTATCCGCAAAGTCGTCTGGACTGCCTTTGTGATAGCCAGCATGAAAAATCTATCTGAGCGCGTAGAGACAGGCGGCAGGGATGAAGCTGACGACTGTTCTGTTGGTGGAGCTTTTCAAACCTTCCTGATCATCAATGGTTTCCAAACTCTTGACATCTCGTTTTTGATAGGAACGAGGTTTTCAGGCTCAATGACACACACCAGAAAATGGCAATTAGCGCTTTCTTATACAGTGTTTAGTTACCAAGGAGTAGCAAATGTCATGTGTCTAGTCATTAGTATTTGTGTAGACCCATCCTTATCAGTGAAGGTGAGAATGTAGCCACCAAGCTAGGCGACCCATAAAAGCAGTGCATTCCTAAATGAAGACAATTAGTAGGAAGCTCTCGATCTAGGCTCCGTATTTTTTAGCAGTCATCAGCGAAATACATCCACAATGTTGGATGGACTAGTGTCCTCTCTGAGTTCCGAACCCGAGCCATTCACTACATTACTACTCAGCTGATTGGGCTGAGGTGTTTAACTTCCTGTGAGACTGCAAAGTATAGATTGGTTGGTCATCAGGTAGTAGTACTGGTCAAAACAAGTTTGAATCTCAGGGAAGACTTTGATTCATTCAAAGGTTGCAGATACATCTAGTTGACGAGTGTCCATCGAATTTCTCTTATCTCTTCTGAGATTTCGTCAGCAATCAGTCAAATTAGGACGGATACAACAATAAATGCCATCTGAGATACTTCTCCGTTTAGTTAACAATCCCTTTTCATACATAGAAAGCATATTAGAGGCTAAAAATATGGACGTTTGTGAATTAGTTATTCTTTAAAGCATGTGTTTTCAACTACTGACAGACGTCTTAATGTCATGTTACATGTTTATCACTAACCTTGACTAGTTTATTAGTGTTGGTTAGTTTTCCAACCGGTCCTAAACCATGGGAAAAAACAGGCCAAGTTGTGCTTGAGGCTAGGAACCTTAACCCAGTAAATCGATACATTCAATTTAATTGGTGAATGTTGACTAGCAGTGGAATCCAGGATAACGCGCATTTCGTCCTATTTTGGACTCGTCAGCTGGATGTACCTGCATTCCCCAGTCAGTGAGTGATGATATTCTCACCAAGGCTTTGGCGTTTGAAACAATGGGCACTGGGTCAAGCCTTGGCGCACAGTTGATTTGATGATATTAGATAGTTGGTAGCAATCGGCCACATGAAGCCTTGGACCTAGGTTTCTTGCTAGTTGACACTCACCAGTCACCAAGGCGTATCTGTAACCATGAAGGAACTCATGTCCCTGCCCAATCAGAAGGCTGTGTTTGTCTACTTGAATAAGCTATAATAATATACAGGAAATATATATATAAACACGTGTTGATATCCGTAATAAAACGAACTGTTGCCGGCCCGGTGTATAAACAAATGGCTCTTTCACTTACTTCCATTAAAATGAACGCGTCAACTTCATCTAATATAACGCATAACTGTTTAAAACCTGCTCCAGATGATGACAACAAGACAACATTGACCAATTCTAGATTTTCATCTCTGTAATCTAAACAAACAAATAAAAGAATAAACGAAGGATAATAGAATCCAAACAAAGTGGAACATTTTGTCATATTTTGAAACTTTAATCAGGTTGTAGTGAGAAGTTATGACCAGTGGGGTACAGTGGATTGGATTTACAAAAAAACAAAAAGGATACTCACCACTGATGATATTGGCTAGTAACAGTTACGCTATTATCATAAATCATTGGGAGACGTTGGAATTCGTGGACTGGCCAATAGATTGGCTCATCATAGTGGCTGCTAAGTGGTCTATACGCTAGCTTGCCTTGTAGCCAGAAGCTACGGGGTTCAAAACTCCTCTGGTGGTTGTTTACCGATTATTGTTATTGTTCCCTTGGGTTTCTAGTGGAACATAGGGCTTCAGCTGTACGTCTCCACTTGCCACATCTGTCTTCCTTCTGCTGTACTTTTCACCTGCATCCATGTTAGTTAATCCATATTTTTTTTGATTACAGCTTGATTCCACACTGTATTTTTCGTACGTGTATGGAATTTTCAGCGTGAATATCGGTAGCCCAAATTTCGCAGGCCGACCAGAGATATCAGGTGTGCGTCGGCGAGGGCTCGAACCCCGGACCATGTGCAGGGTCAGCGAGAATCCTAACCACTGTGCCACCGACGCACAACTCCTCTCTCTTCACACAATCTCCTCCATGTCACCCTTGCACTGACGTCACACTCGCTGCTTGCTTTCCTTTCGGCCTGGTTCCACTCGAGCAATGGCCTAACGCGCGCGCGATGTAACCCAGCGGCGGCCTCCTCAGCCGCAAGTGTCCAATCCATCTCCACTTTCTCCTGCATAATTGTTGAGCGATTGGTTAGTTCCAGTTTCGTTTGTTCCCATCGTTTCTTGTTGATGATTCTTTTCGGGCCGGCCATCTGATATTCAGTAGAGATCCAACGAAGACATTTAGTTGTTGATAAAGGTAACTTCTACAATAGCCTGTTGGAAGTATTCTTTGTGTACCGATGAAGAGTCGAAACAAGGATGACGAAAAAGCTGATTTGAGGCAAATCATATTTTTACAAACCATCGTTTGAAAGTTATTCTTATAATTATTATATTTCTTTCTGACTAATGATAGGAATTTGTCAATAGAAAATTGAAAATATTTATTTTAACTCTAATTTCCGATGTCCAGTTCATGATCAAATTTTAATCTTATAAAATTTCCATTCAACCTAATCATTGAATTGTTGATATTCGTCGTACTATTTTGAATATTCCTATAGGCAGTTGAGTCAGTTGCTTTGTATTTATGTTATAACAACAGAAGACAAGGGTCAGGAAACACATCGTTTATTGAGCAAAATCAAGAAGAATTTGTAAATTTTCACGCATATTATTGTCAGTGGAAATACAACATCTTCTTATTGGTTGTTTTTCCTACTCAAGGTTATTATGCACTGCTTGTGACCGTTGCTTAGAAAGTTAAGCCATATATCTGCAAGTCGTATTTATAGGCATTAAGTTTGATGCGACTGGTTGGTGATTTCTTCAAAGTTAAGCTTTGTTATTGCTTTTCTCTCATGGTCACGATTCGTGACGCAAAATACTGACGTAAATTATTGTCCAAAATTTTAGCTTGTTCACAGCCAGCTATCACAACAATGTAAAATTACTTGAGTAGCTTGAAAATCTAAATTGAATCATATGAGAAAGAGAAGACGTTCAGCCAAGAGACTCTTTTCGACGGCGAATTCATTCACATAGCGCTGTACAATCGAATTTATATATAATTATTTGTGTGTGTGCATGTGTACATGAGGTTTGTCAAGTTTAGATAATTAATTAGGTAATACAAGAATGATCTAATATAGAAACAAGGTTAATTAGACACCAACTAAAGTAAGATTGGGTTAGACGTAATATAATTGACTAAAATGTTTCAACTTAGGTCGGGGTAGCAACAGAGGTAATTACAGATAGAGACTAAGTAGAAGTGGGTTAGAGAATAATGCCATTCGAATTAGAACTAAGATTGAGCAAATAATTTGAATGACGCAACATAAATGAGTGACTAGAAATTGAGCGTTGGTCAAGTCAGTAACAGTGGTAGTGAGGTGTAGAAATGAAATCGGGTGGGGATAGAGAACAAGAAAGTTGAAAATGCAAAATATAACAATTAAGAAGACAGAATAATACTAATGAAGAGACAGAAGAAAAGATCAGGTAGAATTTACTTTTCAGGTAATAAGATAGATTAAGTCTATTGCAAGTGTAGTGATTGAACGAACTTCTTCTGTATGCAGAGTTCAGGGCTTAGCCCCTGTACACCAAACGAAACGTGATCCGTTCACTCAGCTACAGAGCTCCCAGAATTTGTACCCCGGACACCATAGAAGATGAACTGGACAGTCTCAAGAGAATCCTAGTCGAGAATTGTTATCCAGAACGATTTATTGCAAAATCTATGAATCCTAGACCACAAAAACCGCTCATGCTTAGCGTCCCAAAGAAACAATTCTACATGAACCCTCAATTCAAAGGAGATATATCTGCAGAAACACTAAAAAATCGACTGTCGCGCTCACTCAAGAAGATCTTCTTCGCAGCTGAACTACGACTAACTTTATCCACAAAACCTATGATTCATGTGAACGTGAAGGATAAGCTACCACTGCTGGCCTCATCAATGTGTATTTATCAATTCACCTGCTTGCGTGGAGCCAGGTATGTCGGCTGTAGCCAGCATTCGCTTTCCAAGAGTATCACCAAACACTCACCAACATGGTTTTACAAAGGAGAAAAACGATTACCCGCAGCTCCATCTTAGAACATTCGATAGAATCAGGACACCAAGCTGCACCCCAAACAAACTTCAAAGTATTCTACTGAGTAAGTAGTCTTCCTAAAGGTGTACGAATCGGATTTCTTCAAACTGCAGAAGCAGTGGCAATTCACTTGCTAGGTCATGAACTCTGTATACAGAAGAAGTTCGTTCAATCACTACACTTGCAATGGACTTAGTCTATCTGATTACCTGAAAAGTAAATTCTACCTGATTTTTTTTCTGTCTCTTCATTAGTATTATTCTGTCTTCTTAATTGTTATATTTTGCATTTTCAACTTTCTTGTTCTCTATCCCCACCCGATTTCATTTCTACACCTCACTACCACTGTTACTGACTTGACCAACGCTCAATTTCTAGTCACTCATTTATGTTACGTCATCCGAATTATTTGCTCAATCTTAGTTCTAATTCGAATGGCATTATTCTCTAACCCACATTTACTTAGTCTCTATCTGTAATTATGGCGGCCTGCTTATATCATTGGGCTACCGAAATTACTTTCCTCCAAAATGCTTAATTTCATCTGGATTTATCGTTGTTTTAATCTTCCAGTTATATCAAATGACCAATACATAAACTTGCGCCATGATTTAACTTGCTCCCAAGTAAACGCTGTACAATTCTTCAACGAAATGAGGATATACTTCAGATTATTACTTTACATGTGAATCCTGTGTGAAGAAAAAAGTACTTTGGAACTGAATACGCTGAAAAATTTTGTACCGTATACTCGCATACTGTCTTAAATAAAGCTTTACCATTATTATTAGTATTATTATTACCTCTGTTGCTACCCCGACCTAAGTTGAAACATTTTAGTCAATTATATTACGTCTAACCCAATCTTACTTTAGTTGGTGTCTAATTAACCTTGTTTCTATATTAGATCATTGTTTTATTACCTGATTAATTATCTAAACTTGACAAACCTCGTGTACACATGCACACACACAAAAGGAATTTGAATATATTCACGATTCCTTGACGGAGATGGGCTATCCGAGTAGTTTAATAAAGAAACATATGAAACCATCAGAGACTCTGACTGTACATAAGAAACCTCTATTTATTAATTTAATGGTAACTTATCAAGTGAGATTCTATTTCAAAGACTTTCAAGGAGTATACGGAGAACATTTTACGCAGCACACCTATGTTTGTCATTCTCTAACCGACGAATGATTGGAACGCAAACGAAGGATAAGCTTGATAGTTTTCCCACATCTATGTGTATTTATCAATTCAACTGCACCTGCGATGACAGTTATATTGGGCGTACTACTAGACAGCTTAGGTATCCAACGTGCTAGTGAACATCTCCCATCGTGGTGGTTTGGCGAAGGACAGACGAAAACAATCCGTAGCTCAATTCTGTCACATCTAATTGATAGTGGTTATGTAGTGGAGAAAACGAGAGCTTTCAAAGTAATTCATCGTATCCCACCGAATCTTTCTAGTAGACTTCGTATTCGTCTACTGCACACAGCTGGGGAGATAGGCATTCGAACTATTAAACCTGAACTATGCATTCAAAAGAAGTTCGTGCAGCCATTATCCCTCCCGTGGCCTAATAAGACATAACCAACTAAAGACTTCTACACCACCCCTTATTTATATTTCCAAACCCTTTCTTATCATCCCTTAATCTTATCTTCATTATAAACGTGTTTCATTTCCTTCCCCTACAATCTAACATTACGTAATCGGTTCATTTGTTTTTACTGGCCTTTATCGACTACTATGTCTACCTGAACATTTGTTTGTTTAATCATGCTGTTTTTTCATTATTCGTGTTACCACAGATTGCCTCACCTTTTCATCCTTATTATTGATAAGACCATTATTATTATTATTATTATTATTATTATTATTATTCTTTTATCATTATTATCTTTACTACTATTATGACTAATTGCACAATTTATATTCACCATCGTATTATCCTGTAGACAAAACACCATGATTGGTTCATATTTGAATTTTTATTTGTAAAGTTATGTAGGTATATTAGAGTTAAGCCTGATGAGATCTAATTGAAAACAATATTGCTCGCCTAAATGTGTTGTTCTAAATAATTATATATAAATGTGATTGTGCAGCTATGTGAATGAATTCGCCGGCGAAAAGAGTCTCTTCGCTGAACGTTTCCTCTTTTTCAGTGTTATTATTGACATTATCATTATCATTATTATTATTACTACTGTTACTATAATCATCATTAATACTGATATATATGCAACATTCCACACTCATGATTTTCGATCCATCAACTCATTGTTATTAGTTAAAACAGTTGTGCGAATGTATATTAGAGTAATATATGTCGACTAGACAGACTGGATAATGCAAAAGACAGTGGGAAACCAACGCATAGGCAAGAAATGGACTCACACAAAAAATCTTGGAGGATGTGGATTTCGTCGATGTGGTAATATGTCTGACTTCCCACAAACAAGTTGGCAGAACAACCATCAAGCATACGACTTTCTTCAGACGAACATAGAGTAAACAGATGTAGGTGATGAAGATTCATGGCCAATAGCAAGAGCAGCAACCAGTGGCAACAATCAGCCAACATGAATTGGAGGATTATGAAGGAAGCAATCTCCTTTACCTACGAATCTATCTATCTATCTACCTACCTACCTGAGAAGCATCGTTTCAGCTGCAGGCGGACGGGACTGATGAGGGAATCGTTAAAGCAAGGACCATTGATAAAACAAGACAAGTTTTCATGACCCTTAAGTCTGTGTGGAGATAAACAGCACTACTCAGCGTGAAAAATTAGATCCGGATTTTCAACTCCAATGTGAAGTCAGTGCTACTGACTATACGGATCAGACACTTGACGCCACGTCGCTTTGCGTCACGAAGGCAAATTCGAACAAACTACACACCTTCATCAACAGTTGTCTTCGTTCAAGATTAGATTGCCGACCAGAAACAATCAGCAATAGTGAGGGATCTCTGGGAGCGAACTGGAACCAATTGTCCAATAAATATGCAGGAAGAAATGGAGGTGGATTAACTGGCCATACTCTGAGAAAACACACCATCAAGTGACATCACACGTCAGGCCACCACTCGAGTGGAACCCGGACGGGAAGCGGCGAGTTGGTCGTCAGTGTGAGGATGACATGTAGGAGGAGGTCGTGCGAAAGGGAGATGGAAGCACGTGTGGAGACTTGAAGACAGGTGAAAAAGTTGGCGGCGAACAAAATACAATGCAGGCGTGTCGCTGAAGTCCTATATTCCTCTAGGAATTAAGGGAAACAATAATAATAATATCCAAACCAAGATCATTTTTAAGAGTTTGGAAAAATTCGACCATTGGGTATATGATATTCATTGTCAATATTATTATGATAAAAGATTTTGTATTTCCTATGGATTCTTAAACTAATTTTGTCCACAAAATAAAATTCTTGTAATGTGATGCGGTATACTGCGGACAAACACCATACAGAAATCGACATCAGAAGAAATGAACACCGTAGAGCCGCCTCTCTTTCGAAATCCAGTTGAAGTAGAAAAGATTGAAAAATTCTCAGTCAGAAGTCGTCTACATGCTACGATGTAGGAGTTAGGTGACACAATTGATTTTGAAAACATTGAAATCACTATCCAGAAAAAGCATTTTAGAAATCATAAAGAACGTCGAATATCATCGAAAGCACTTCATATGAACAAATGGAATCCAAATGTTTTGAATAGGAATGATGCAGTGGAACAGAATTTGAACTGATTACAACACCCTCCCCCCCCCTTATGAAGTGAAATCATCAACCCGAATGTGATAAACAATTTCATTATGTAAATACACGTTACTTTTATAACTTTTCACACTTATCAAATCCAGTAGTCATCTACACCTGGTTTTGTTATCTTTACACCAATCGGTCAACTGAACAACACAAAAATTGACCCCATACTGATGAACATGGATGATTAAAGTTACTGCAATAGACATAAGCTGAGTGGATTTTGTAAATTCAGTATTAAATAGGGAAACGCCGGTGAAAACAACAATATCGTATTCAGGATTTCATCATTAGCTGACATTAGTTAGAGAACCACTGGAAAACCTGCAGGGAGTACTGGACAGCTGTTTCCCGCGTCCTAGTTTGGGACTCTTCAGCAGCACGCACCCACCACAGGGGATTCGAACCCAGGACCTTCCGGTTACAAGGCGAGCCCGTATACCATTAAGCCACTGGGACCCGATCCAATGGTCCTTGAATTCTAACTTCTGCCAATTCACGACATAGCGCGACCGCTAGCCAATGTCTTCGGCGAGTATTTGTCCTCACACCCGACCAGGTGCAATGGTTCCAAAGGTTCTCTAACTAATGTCAGCTCATGATGAAATCCTGAAACCAATCAAATCCCTACAAACCAACACTTGAATACCAATGAGATGCTCACTGGCGACTGGCCCTATTCAGGTAGGTAGTTACCTGGGTTCCAGTGGGAAGTCGTGACCAGTAGGGTGCAGCTGGTCGGGTGTGAGGACAAATACTCGCCGAAGACATTGGCTAGCGGTCCCGCTATTTCGTGATTTGGCATAAGTTAGAATTTACGGGCTATTGGATCGGGTCCCAGTGGCTTAATGGTCTACGAGCTCGCCTTGTGACCAGAAGGTCCTGGGTTCGAACCTCCTGTGGTGGGTGCGTACTGCTGAAGAGCCCCAAACTAGGACGCGGGAAACAGCTGTCCAGTACTCCCTGCAGGTTTTCCAATGGTTCTCTAACTAATGTCAGCTCATGATGAAATCCTGAAACCAATCAAATCCCTACAAACCGACACTTGAATATCGTTTTTTTTCCATACACTCATTGGAAAATACATCAACGTTTATAACAATGTACATTAGAGTAGCTGAAACAGTAAGAGAAGTACTGTAATTAATAGTTTTCTCTGAGCTGGTTGGTTTAGTTGCGAAGCTTTTCCCGTCCCCCTACTGGACAACATCCCCTTTCAGCGTAATATTTAGCATAAAGTGAAATGATTTAAATTTTTCTTCATGAGTAGTGATATAATTGCGTCTCCCGGTAACCATCTTTACATATGTATTGACCATTTTCTATTGACTTGAATTTTAAACTTTTAGTCATCTGATTTACTTTTTATTAATTGGTATATTTCCTTTATAATAACGTGTTTGTAAATTGCATTTTCGTTTGAGTACCAGGCTTCTTGGAATTCCCTGAATGCAGTTTTGGTGTTTCCTCTGTCTAAGATTTTGACATTATTCCAATCATCAAACTAATGTCCATTATTGTCTATATGCATTGATATGAAAGAATATACATCGTGTCTTTTCACGCCTGATTTGTGTTCTTGGATTCTAATTCGAAAGGGATACTGACATTGGCCGATGTTATGCTTGTTACAGTTCATACAATTTATTTTGTAGATGGTATTAATTTTACCCCCTCTGGTTTGAATTTATCCTTGGAACTGTTTTCGTATTAGTAACTTACCGCCAACTCAGGATGAGTCAGGAAGTAATTCTTCTAACCTCCCCTATCTCCACACTGGATGAGACAGCACAGAGGGTATTCTGGAGATTTGATGGAAACACTTTACGTCTGTGCTTTATTTTTTTATTCTTATTTTTCCTTCACGTTCCCCAGTGGAACATAGGGCTTCAAGCGAGTGGCTTGAAGTTTCTGTACCAATGTTTAACTTTTACAGGATGAGGTTGCTAGCTTCATGCCCAAGCTTTCCTCTTTACCAGCATTATTTCTGGCTTAGCGAGGTAAAGGAGTGCGTCCAGTGGTCGGGGATCGAACCCCGGACCATGTGCATGGTCGGCGAGCATCCTAACCGCTATGCCACCGACACGTCTCTGCTGCTGCTGCATCCCTTTAGAATATCTTTTTCCCATCTCCTTTTGTCTTCCTGTGTTTGCTCCATTGAGTATGGCGGGTTGAACTGTTGTACTCCTGTGCAAATGTCTGTTTTTTTAATTTTAACAATGCGAATATTTAATAATCCGTCAGACATTTAAATATAAAAGACAATAAACTTGGGGGAAATGCGGCATGGAGGGCACGGAGGGGTAGCAATAGTGGTTATAGAAAAGGAAAAAAACCTTACCATGAAATAAATTAGTCAATCGACTAAACTCCACTGAACTGCAAGCAAGTTTTAAAATCGGTTTGCCTTCACTGAACACTCTATCTGGACAGAGAACATCGAAAAAATTGTCTGGAAAACGTAAATGTCTTGGATATTGTAAATTTCCTGGTGGTGAATTCATTAAGGCTTGTGAACAACAATTATTTGATCTGCTATTTATAATCAATGAATTAGTTTCTAAATTCATCACATGTATACCCCAAAATATTCGACCATAATTAGGAAAAGTACTGGAATAGAAATAGAAACAAAAAGAAAAATAAAAGACAGGATCAAAGATCAGTATTAAAGGAGGAGATAGATTAGCTGAAATATGTATGAGGCGGACAGAGAGATATATGAGATCGTCAAAAGCTGCAATTCATGAACTGACCATTGTATCAGCCTGTTGTAGTGGCTGACTAAATTCGGGCTACCGATTTCACATGTTGAAAATTATATAATTGTACCTAAAATACTGCGCGGGAATCAAGGTACAATAGGAAAATGAATAAATAAAAAAAATATAGGGACCTTTCGTTATTGCATCTTTGAATTTATAAACAGATATCAATATTATGAAATTAAGAACAACACATTTAAGCGAATAATATTTCGCTTTCAATTACATCTCAACAGGCTTAACTCTAAGATAAATAAGTTTGCAAATAAAAAATTTAAATACGAACCAATCATGGTGTTTTGTATTTAGGATAATAAGATTTATTATTTTATTATTATTATATCCTTTAATTCCTAGAGGAAAAAAGAGCTTCAGCTGCACGTCTCCATTGCGTTCGGTTCTCTGCTAGAGTTTTCACCTGGCTCCAGGTCTGCCCATATGCTGTCATCTCCTATTCACATGACCTCCACCGTCTCACCCTCGCACTCACGACTAACTCGCCGATTCCCATTCGGATCCCACTCGAGCAATGGCTTTTCCAGCAATGTCACTTGATGGATCGTGTTCTCAGAGTATGGCCAGCCAATCCACCTACATTTCTTCCTGCACATTTCTCGCAAAAATGCCTCCTAATTTGTTGGTTCGCTCCCAGAGATCCCACACTATTGCTGACCTTTTCTGGCCGGCAATCTGATCTTCAGCGAAGCATTGAGCGAAGGCAGCTATTGATAAATGTCTGTAGTTTGTTTGAGGAGCTCTTTATGACGCGCATTCCAAGTCTCTGATCCGTATACGCAGTAGCACTGACTTCACAATGGAGTTGAAAATTCAGATCTAATTTTTCATGTTGAGTAGTGCTATTCACCTCCACACAGACATGAGAGTGATAAAAGTTGTCTTCCTTTTCCGATTTTTGCTTTGATATCCTCGTCAGTTCCGCCACCTGTAGTTGAATTTATGCTTTCCATGTCGGTAGGTAAAGCAGGTTGTTTCTTTCAGGTTCCTCCGATTGGTGCTGGCTGATTGTTGTCTGTAGTTGTTGTTGTTGCTGTTGGTGTTGGCCAGGAATCTTCATCACCTACATCTGCTTTCTCTATGTTTACCTGAAATGAAGTCCTATCTTCTTGGATGCTTCTTCTGCCAGCTTGTTACTTTTCTCTTGCATATCTTCCAGCTTGTAGGAAATCAGACATATATATGACATCGTCGAAGTCCAGATCCTCTAAGTAGCTATGATAGACAGATAAATAAATCACACAACCGGACGAATAACTAATAATTACTACTACTACTACTACTAATGGAAAAGAGCATATAAGCAAATTATAAAATGCAGAGAGGGAGAGAGAGAGAGGCAGATGCAGAAAGGAATTCAATGTAAGTAAAGAATAAACATGATTTAGGAATGACAATTATACATATATGTATAAATGCAGTTTAATTATACCTATCGGTTGTCATTAATTTGCCTATTGCAACCGCTTATCTCCTCTTTATACCGTTTAGAATAAAAAATACAGAAATCTAAAAATCACAAAATAGCTGAGCAAAGAATATCCTCTTCGATAATTTCCTCCACCTATTCTGGCACTACAATGATATATATATGTGTGTTTATATACATAGAATATTCTAGATTAGTAGTCAATAATAATATTAGTTTTCAAGTATTGATTTTGTAGGGATTTTTGTTTGATTGAATGGAGGATTTCATCATGAACTGACATCAGTTAGAGAACCACTGGAAAACCTGAAAGTACTGGACAGCTGTTTCGTCCTAGTTTGGGACTCTTCATCAGTACGCATCCACCACTAGGGTTCGAACCTAGGACCTTCTGATTACAAAGCTAGTGAACTCGTAGACCATTTAGTGGCCACTGTGACCCGATCCAATGGTCTTTGAATTCTAACTTCTGCCAAATCACGATATAGCGCAACCACTTCACATTGTCTTCTTCGATGAGTTACTGCCTCATCATCAACCTGCTGTACCTTATTGGTCACGGCTTCCCGCTAGAACCCCAGGTTAATTGCCTGAAGAAGAAGTCATTGACTGTGTGGTGAGAGCTGTCTGTTAGTCAAAATTGGTGGACAGTAATTAACGTCAATGTTTATGTCCCCGATATTGGTCGTGAGAAAAATGAGAAAAAGGCTTTGCGTAGGCAGATGCAGTTGGCATATAGATGATCTGACATTCAAGAAATAGTCACAAGGAGATGAAAGATTAACTTTTTGTGAGAAACAATCACTAATCAGAAGACTGTGTTTCTCAGCTAACAATAATCTATAATAATGTACATGAAAATCCATAAATATGTGTTGATTTCCATAATAAACGATGTGTTGCCTGGCCCTTGTCTTCTTATAAAGAAGACATTGCGAAATGGTCGCGCTATGTCATAAATTGGCAGAAGTTAGAATTCAAAGACCATAGGATCGGGTCACAGTGGCCACTAAATGGTCTACGAGGTCGCTAGCTTTGTAACCAGAAGATCCTGGGTTCGAAACCTAGTGGTGGATGCGTACTGATGAAGAGTCCCAAACTAGGACGAAACAGCCGTCTACTACTCTCAGGTTATCCAATGGTTCTTTAACCAATGTCAGTTCATGATGAAATCCTGAATTCAGTCAAACAATATAAGTGTTTTTTAAATAATATCGATATGTAAAGTAAGATCACAATGGAATTACAGTTCATTAAAAATGCTTATATCATAATGATAATAATAATAAAATAAAATACAGTAGCAAATAGAACATCGACTAAAATTAGGAAATTTCCACAAAAACTGAGGATCATTCAAACCTAAATGGCCAAGTAAAGGATAATGTCTGAACTAACTGCTTTTCAATGCACTTTTTTTTTTGATTTTTTTTTTTTGGATTTACAGCTTGATTCCACACTGTATTTTTGGTACAAGTATGGAATTTTCAGCATGGATATCGGTAGCCCAAATTTTGCAGGCCGACCATAGATATCAGGTGTGCGCCGGCGTGGGCTCGAACCCCGGACCATGTACATGGTCGGCGAGAGTCCTAACCACTGTGCCACCGACGCACAAATAGATATTTATTTTATTTAAAAGCACACTAATATTATTATTGACTACTAATCTAGAATATTCTATGTATATAAACACACATATATATCATTGTAGAACCAGAAGAGGTGGAAGAAATTATCGAAGAGGATATTCTTTACTCAGCTATTTTGTGTTTTATAGATGTCTGAATGAATATTTTTTGCTATATTGAAATACAGAAATGAAAATCCCTCTATATATGAGTCAGAAAATTACTGAAAACCACGGAACTTTCGATAGACATTACATCCTAGTAACACGTAGACATGACTATACCAAGGGTGGGACTCAGAACTTTCAGGGTTCTGGGAACGAATAAGTTATTCAAGAAATATTCCGAAGAAAATGGCAATGGATCAGACATATGCTGAGGAAATCATCATGTGACACTATCTTCCGGGCCCGAATGGGAAAGAGACTAGTTGGGCCTGGTTCTGAGGAGACATCAAGGAGGCCGTGTGAGGAGTAGATTACCGGCTTATGGGATATTTTGGGGTTAGCTAAAGATGCGGACAGAGAATAGGACGATGTAGAGATGTACTGTTGAAGCCTAGTTTACCACTCAGAAGCCAGAAGAACGATAATAATAAGTATATGTGATAAATATGTGTAATATTCCAGAAAAAGCGTCACAAACTATTTTTGGTGTTTTTATAAGTAGTATCGATCTTCTGCTGCATGCCAAGTAATCCACAACGGGAACTCACCGGATCCTTCGAAGTTAAGTCAGGAGTAAGACAAGGCTGGCTGCCTACTATCGCCAATGATTTTCCTGATTGCAGTAGACGGGACAATGTGACAGACAGTGGTCCGGGGAGCGAGGAAACAGGCATAAAATGTACCCACACAATAAACGTCGAGGATCTGGACTTCGACGATGTCATATATATGTCTGATTTCCTACAAGCTGGAAGATATGCAAGAGAAAGGCAACAAGTTGGCAGAAGAAGCATCCACTGAAGATAGGACTTCATTTCAGGTAAACATAGAGAAAGCAGATGTAGGTGATGAAGATTCCTGGCCAACACCACCAACAGCAACAACAACTACAGACAACAATCAGCCAGCACCAATCGGAGGACCTGAAAGAAACAACCTGCTTTACCTACCGACATGGAAAGCATAAATTCAACTACAGGTGGCGGAACTGACGAGGATATCAAAGCAAAAATCGGAAAAGGAAGACAAGCTTTTATCACTCTCATGTCTGTGTGGAGGTGAATAGCACTACTCAACATGAAAAATTAGATCCGAATTTTCAACTCCAATGTGTGAAGTCAGTGCTACTCACTATACGGATCAGAGACTTGCACTGCGTGTCATAAAGAGCTCCTCAAACAAACTACAGACATTTATCAATAGCTGCCTTCGCTCAATGCTTCGCTGAAGATCAGATTGCCGGCCAGAAAAAGTCAAAATAGTGTGGGATCTCTGGGAGCGAACCAATAAAGTAGGAAGCAATTGTGCGAGAAATGTGCAGGAAGAAATGTAGGTGGATTGGCTGGCCATACTCTGAGAACACGATCCATCAAGTGACGTCACTAGACAAGCCGTCACTCGAGTGGAACCCGAATGGGAATCGGCGAGTTTGTCGTGAGTGAGAGGGTCAGATGTAGGAGGTCATGCGAATAGGAGATGACAGCATATGGCAGACCTGGAGCCAGGTGAAAACTCTAGCTCAGAGAACCGAACGCAATGGAGACGTGCAGCTGAAGCCCTATATTCTTCTAGGAATAAAAGGAAATAATAATAAATCGATCTTCTGAGATCAGCGGAATTGCAGTTTAAAGAATATGCATTAGTTTTGATAGGCATAAAAGCATAGCACTAAATTAAGTATCATGTAGAATTACGAAACTTTATGTAAAATTAAAGGTTAGTTAATAATATTGACAAACAAGCTGAGGAAAGCGTCTGAATCAGCTTCTGCTTTTTGAATACAAAACTCAGGCTTCGTTTCATCAGGGATTCCAAAGTCTTCAGGATATTATGTAAAAGTAGAACTGTTCAGGTCAAATTGTACAATAGTCAGAATTTATCAGTTAATATCAGTCTTATATTCAACATCCAGTGAAATGAGGCGCAATAGAGTTTTGAATGAATCTCGTTTTTTGTCCTGTTTGACCACTGTGCAGAATAGTCTTCAAAAATTCGATGAATTATTATTATTATTGTTCCCTCATGTTCCTAGTGGAATAAAGGGCTTCAATTGCACGTCTCCACTTGCCACTTCTGTCTTCCTTCTGCTGTACTTTTCACCTGGTTCCATGTTACTCCATACTCTTTTAACTCCTTTTCGCACGATCTCCTCCATGTCACCCACCCTTGTACTGACGTCACACTCGCCGCTTGCTTCCCTTTCGGCCTGGTTCCACTCGACCAATGGCCTGACTCACACGCGATGTCACCCAGTGGCCTACTCAGCCAGTGTTCAGTCCATCTCCACTTCCTCCTGCGTATTTGTCGGTTGGCGATTGTTTTCTTCTTGTTTCGATTGTTCCCATAGTTTCCCATAGTTGGTGATTCTTTACGGCCCGGCCATCTGATCTTGAGTATAGATCCAGCGAAGACAGTTAGTTGTTGATAAAGGTAACGTCTGCAATAACCTGTTGGAAATATTCTTTGTGACCTGCCCGTCCGCCAAGTTTCTCATCCGATCCGTATAGAAGAACTGACTGACTTGACGTTGTTTTTATTGAAAATCAACCGAATTTTTTGTTGTTGATGGCTGAGTGACGAAGATTTCCAGATTGATTTCAGGTTGATGATTGAATGTGTTTCTCGCCCCTCTCCCCGATTCTCGCTCGATTTGACATCCTCGTCCGTTCCGACTGACTGTAGTTGAGACAATGCTCCCTAGGTAAGTGAATGAATGGAGTAACCTCTTTCAAATCCCTCCCGTTGATGGTGATGGGCGCTGGATGTTGTTGCTGCTGTTATTGTTGTTGGTTGGTTGATTATTTTCATAACCTCCGTCTTGTCTATGTTCACCTGGAGTCCTGTCTTCACCGGCTGCTTCTTCGACCAGTTTGTCGGTTTTCGCTTGCAAGTCTTCGATTTTGTGTGACATCAAACATAAATCATCCACTAGCGAAATCCAGGTCTTCTAGGTTCTTCACGTCGGTCAGTCCAGGATATCCACCCTGTCTTCTCGTTTTCCACTCACTGTCTGACGCATAATCCAGTCAGTCCACCACAATTAGGAATATCATTTGGTGATAATAAGCACCCTTGTCTGACTCCTGTCTTTACTCCAAACGCCTCGCTGAGTTTTCCGTTGTGGATCACTTGACATGTTCCGTTGTCGTACAGCTGTTGAATAAGGTTGATGAATATTTGGGGTACGCCATAGTACTCGAGTAATTTCCAAATTACTTCACGATCAACGCTGTCGAAGGCCTTCTCAAAGTCTATAAAGTTGAGGTAGAGGTTTGATGGCCATTCAATGCTTTGTTCTGTGATGATGATGCGTAGAGTTGCAATTTGGTCAGAACATGATTTGCTGACTTTCCTGAATCCAGCTTGTTCTGGTCGGAGTTCTGCATCCAGTGCGTCCTTAATTCTCTCCAGGATGATGCGACTCAGGATTTTACTTGGCGTCGATAGGAGCATGATTCCTCGCCAGTTCTTGCAGAGTGGGGCCTAAGTCGCCCTTCTTTGGTAGTTTCACGAGGTAACCTTTCCTCCAGTCAGTAGGCACCTTTCCCTCCTTCCAGACCTTTTGCAATAATGGAGTCAGCATGTCTGCTGTCGTCTCTGGGTCCGCTTTCAGTGCTTCAGGGGGTATTCCATCTGGTCCAGCTGCTTTTCCAGCTTTCAGAAGCTTGATTGCATTCAAGACTTCAGCTTTCGTTGGAGGATTGGTGTCAACTTGCAGTTGTGTGCGCGCTGTTGTTGGTATTTCTGGACGGGTTGCAGGTGATGGTCGGTTCAAGAGTCCTTTGAAGTGATCCGCCCATTGTTTAATCTGTTTTTCTTCCTTGGTAATTGGGTTCCCTTGGCTGTCTTTTATAGGTTTCGCTTGTGTTGATCTCTTCCCGGATAGAGATTTGGTTATCTGATATAGTGTCCTCAGGTCCCTTTTGCCTGCTGCCTTCTCAGCTTCAGTGGCCAGGTTGTCGTAGAATCGTCTTTTGTCCTTCCTAGCACTCTTCTTCACTTCTTTGTCCAGTGCTTTGTAAGTTGAGCTCAGCGTCTCCTTCTCCTGTCCGTCCTTGCATTGAATCATTTTCTCTTTCACCATTCTCCTCTCTTCTATTAATTTCCAAGTGTCCGTTGAGAGCCATTCCTTGTCTTGTCTCTTCTTTCTTCCTAGAACCGTTGAACACGTTTCGTTGAGAATCGCCTTCAGAGACTTCCAATGTTCTTCCACGCATGATTCTTCAGTGATGTCGCGTAGTGTTTCCTGCTTTGCTCTGACAGTTGCAGTGAAGGTGTCTTTTGTGGTTGTGTCCTTCAGTTTCTGAGTGTTGAACTTGCATTGTGGCCTATCCCCAGCTATCCTCGAGGCTTTTAGTTTCACCTTGAAAGTCCCTTGTACTAGATAGTGGTCTGAACCCACATCTGCTCCTCTCCTTGACCTTGTGTCCAGTAGGCTCCGTCTCCACTTTCTTGAAATTGAGATGAAGTCTATTTGGTTTTTGGTGTTTCCATCTGGTGAAATCCATGTCGTCTTGTGTATATCCTTGTGTTTGAACACACTACCACCAATCACCAAATCATTGAAGGCGCAGAAGTCTGAGAAGAGTTCACCATTGTCGTTCATTTCACCGAGGGCCTCTCGACCCATGGTGAGTTCTCTTCCTGTGTTGTCTCCTCCCAGCTTCGCATTCATGTCGCCCATCAGGATTTTGATATCGCCATTTGGGACGTTGTCCATTATTGTTTGTAGTTGTCTGTAGAACGCCTCCTTCTTCTCTTGTTCTGAGACGTTTGTAGGCGCATAGCATTGAATGACTGTAACTTTCCTTCCTTTTGAGTTGAACCTGGCTGTCATTATCCTGGAGGAGATTGGTTCCCACTGCATGAGAGCTTTGGTTGCTGTTGGTGACATCATGATGGCCACTCCCTCGGTGTGCTCGTGGTTGTCCTCTGAGTGGCCGGAATAGATTATTGTCTCTCCAGTTGGTAGTTGGCACCTTCCAGTTCCGTTCCATCTGCTTTCGCAGATTCCCAACACTTCTATTCTATACCTTCTCATTTCAGCGGCTATCTGGGCAGCCTTTCCAGTTTCGTACATTGTACGAACATTCCAGGTACCCATCCTTACTTTTGCTTTCATCGAAAGAAGGCACATCGGCTGACTGGCTTCCCGAAGGCTTTCACCAGCCTGCGTTATTTCACTTCCTCGATTCCAGCGAAAAATAAGGTTACTGTTTACATTTTTAGAATTTTTAATATATTGGTGCATTGAAGTTTCTGTAGGTGTTTGGTTGAGTTTTGGGGGTGGAGTTGCTAGCACCACACCCCAACCCTCCCTCTTTATCCGGGCTTGGGACCGGCTAGAAAACTGGCAAGCTAGTAGTCTAGGCTAGGCTAGAAAACTAGCGAGCTAGTAATCCAGGCGATGAAAATCGCGTACAACTGTAAAGCTTATGTAACTGACTCCTCACGAGCAGTCAAATTGATAAATAGACATCGAAAAAGTAAAATTAGTTAGTTCATCTTTACCTCACGAACGTTAAATGGGAGTGGTTTAGTAAAGAGACAGCCTACTTCATCAGTGGTAGAGAATGCTGTTTTTTAGAATTGTGTTATTATTCCACTGGTGTTATTATTGACGTAATGATGATGGAAGAACAGGGTCTTTTTCGAAACTCTTGACAATTTAACTTGCCTTCAGATTTGTTTTCTTGTCAATGAATTTCTCTGGGTAACCATTCTTACAACAACAAAAAAGCATCACATATATATATATATGTATATACATAAAAGTAATCATAAAATAATTTCACCAAACAATATGCTCTTACTCAACTTCACTTTCTGATAAATCAATTAAATAAAATGGTTGATTAATAACACCAATCAATGGGACTCCTGTGCATCGATCAAATAAGCCTATAAGGATAGTAACATTGATTAGTCCACCACGATAGAAACGTATTAAACTTGTTGGATTTTCAAAAAAATGATTAATTTGATTTAAATGTTCAGCGTCTGTAGCAGATTGTGTAACAGGTGATGATGCGATGTGCGCCGATTGAGATGGTGGTACTGATGATGGTGGTGGTGGTGGTGGTGGTGGCGAGGAGGAAGATGAATTTGGCGGGTTGGTAGTAGTAGTTGGGCTAACAGTAGTAGGCGGAGTAATGGATGCTTGGATTTTATCGAATCGACCTTGAGCATAATCAGCTGTTGAGTCTATAAAACAATGATTTGATAAAGAATAAAAACGTCAATACACATATACAATGGAAAATGCGTTATTTAGTCGTCAAGATGGTAGGGTGGATAGGGGGACATTATAGGCAAAACACTAGTTATTATAGAAAATATCCCCATTTGGACATTTAGAAAAGAGAAAGATTGAGCGAGCGAAGAAATATTTACTTTTGTCAATTAGATCCTCCCTTATCTCACTCTGGCTCTACTCATATATACACGTATAGCATTTTAATTACAATACACAACAATTTACCATTCAAGTGGCACTGATATATTTGTTAACAATAATTAGTCGGTGTCAAAATGTCAATGGGGTGATAATTAACGAAGAAAATTAATACACACAATTAAAAGGTAGAAATGGTTAGAATAAATTAATTTTACAAGGGTAACACGTAAATTAAAGATGAAGTGGTCAAAATAAATAAAAAATAAAATAATTTGGACAATTATAATTTTTATAATTTTAAAGGTTTAGTGGGAGGGGGGCGAAGTAGTCCTGTTTATACATTCTTGTGACTATGGCTACGGTAGGGAAAGCGGCTTTATAACTAACATGGTTAACAATAATAAAATAAAATAAAGTTCATGAAAATTACTCAGTTAAATAAAAAACAAAACTACATACTGATGACTAATCATATTTAGATAGGTCATGTAGTCAGTCCATGGTAGGCGAAGATTGAAGTCTATTGATTGTTTCGTGCACACAGTTTAGGCTGTATGTGATTAATCCACCAAAGTGCTTCCATCACCTTCAATAACCAGACTTGAATTAGAGTTATGTGATGAAATTATTGTGAAAAAGTCATTAATATCGATTGATTTTGTGACCAGACATTAATAAGTGTTTTGCAATGGATGATGATGCTGGATTTCTATTAAGATTAATCGCGTTGGGATTTTCGATATGATTTACTAGCCATTTCGGAACATGTTCTTTTCGACGAGTACATTGGAACATTCTGTTGGTCCTACCCATATAAGTATCACCGCAGCTGCAGGTGAACTTGTAGATACAGTTTGAAGTAGAGTCCACAGAATTTCGTCCTTTAACCGCAGGCACAAAGATCGAAGATGTTAGGCAAGTGAGAAAAAGAGATGTGGCGGCGTAGAATGTGCGTTTGATGGCTGACCGAAGTCTTTGAGCTAGTTGTCAACTGCATAATCTGGTCGCCCTTGAATGGTAGGTTAATTAAGATAGCTTTCTTTGGTATAGATGCCGTCTTTTCAAGATGTAGTCTATCCTTACCGTGACAACTGATGAAGTTTTCTGGATAACAATTAGCTAATAAAACTGAATGTATATGTCGAAGCTCATCCACATCGATTTGTCACTCGTGCATATTTTTCGGGCCCTTGAGAACAAACATTTCACTAGGGAACGTTTATACTGGATAGGAAGAAAACTGGTAAAATGAAAATATTGTCCAGTCCATGTCACTTTACGAAAAATAGATAGCTGAACCGTACCATCATCTCTCCTAGTCATTGTAATATCCAGGAAACCGAGTTTGTTATTGGATTCGAGTTTGGAAGTCATTCGGATATTTGGATGAATAGGATTAAATAGGGTAATGAAGTTTTCGATAGATTTACTATTATTACCAATTATAAGAGTATCGTCTACATAACGTTTATACAGCATAAATTCTCCAAGCATACCTTGGATTTGTTTCTCTAATTTCGACATAAATATATCTGCTAACAGGGGCCCCAGAGGGCTCCCCATCGCAACACCATCGATATTTTTATATACCTTTTCTTGGAATGTGAATCTAATATTTTATGTACATATTAATATTATGTCTTAGATGTAAGTTACAGGAATAGGTAAGTTTATCCCATTGCTTTTGATGTAGTCGCAAATGAAATCAACAGTTTCATGAAAGGGAACATTGGTGAATAAAGATTCTATGTCAGTTGAACACATACATAACCTTTTCCTTAATGTTCAAGGTGTTCAGCGTTTCTGTAAGATCAAATGAACTTTTTACAGAATGATTTGATAATGAGTCTCTTACAGGCGTAAGGACCTCTGTAATCCATTTAGCGATATTATGGTAAGGAGAATTTACTTTTCAATTAGATCCTCATCTCACTCTGGCACTCTACTCTAATATACACGTATAGCATTTTTATTACAATACACAACAATTTACCATTCAAGTGGCACTGATTTATTTGTTAACAATAATTCAACAGTGTCAAAATGTCAATGGGTTAATAATTAATGAAGAAAATTAATACACACAATTAAAAGGTAGAAATGGTTAGAATAAATTAATTTTACAAGGATAACACGTAAATTAAAGATGAAGTGGTCAAAATAAATAAAAATATAATAAATAATTTAGACAATTATAATTTTTATAATTTTAAAGGTTTAGTGGGAGGGGGCGAAGTAGTCCGGTTTATACAATCATGTAACGATGGCCAAGGTAAGGAAAGTGACTGCACAAAATTCTTCTGAACACACAAGTTTGGCTTCTTCAGGTGGATTCCTATGGCTTCAGCTGTTGTATGTAGAAGACGAACTCGCAGAGCAAAATTAAGATAAGTTGGAATGCGATAAATAATTTTAAATTGGTGTATTAACATCAATCTTATGCTCACTATCTACAAGGTAGGCTAAAATAGAACTACGAATAGATCTTGTTTGTCTCTTGCTTAACCATGCCGGATGATGTTCAAAAATACGATGATGAACCTGCCTAGTTGTTCGCCTGATGTATTATGATTATTATTGTAACGGAGTAACTAATCTCATCTATTTTACTAGCTAGCTGCCTGGTTCCAAGCTCAGAAAAAGAGGGAGGGTTGGAAGTGGAGTTAGTGACCCTACCCTACCGACCTACTGCACCCTACTGGTCACGACTTCTCACTAGAACCCCAGGTAACTACCTACCTCAATAGGGCAAGCTGCTAGTGAGCATCTCATTGATATTTTAGTGTTTGTTTTTGTAGGGATTTGATTGGTTACAGGATTTCATCATGAGCTGACATTGGTTAGAGAACCATTGGAAAACCACCTGAGAGTACTTGACAACCAGCTGTTTCGTCCTAGTTTGGGACTCTTCAGCAGTATGCACCCACCGTGGTTCGAACCCAGTCACTATAATAACTCCAACGTACAAGAAAAATATAAAGTAATAGACTTATTCTTCACTGAAATCGGATGTGCAAAAGGATATGGGCTGGTGAATGCCTTCAGGGAACCAGTTAGCAGGCTGATGCGCCTTCTTTCGATGAAAGCAAAAATAAGGATGGAGACGTGTAATTTTCGCACAGTATGCAAAGTTGGTTAGGCTGTCCTGATTCCCAAAGAAATACTAAAGTACAGGATAGAATTACTATGGATCTACGAGAGTCGGTTGAAATGATTTTGGACTATCGAAATTGTTAACTAAAGAGTTCAACGATTGTCTTCACTCTATGATGAAGATCATATTGCCACTCGGAAAGAATTAGTAACAAGTAACTCTAGAAATGAACCAATCAAGAACTTGTTACTTAAGAAGTATGTCAAATGAAAGAATGACATCACATGTCCGGCAATCACTTGTTTTGAACTCAAACGTAAAATGACGACTTTGGCACTGGTCCCTGTGTGACATGAAAGAGGTCGTATGAGAAGAAGATAAGAGACTATGGGGAATCGTTGGACCAGCTGAACAGGATCGTAGAGAATAAGACAATGTTGAGAAACGCTGTTGAATCCATATATTCCACTCAGAACCCTACCTATTCATGTAAGTAGTCACCTGGAGTTCTGGTGGGTAGTCCAGATCAGTGGGGTGTAGCAAGTCTGGTGTGTGAGGACAACTACTTGCCATGGATGACATTGGCTAGTGCCAGTCGGGCTGTATCGTGATGCTTTGGCTATTGGATCACGTCCCAGTGGTTGCTGAATGGTCTACGAGCTCGCCAGCCTTGCAATTAGAAGGTCCTAGGTTCGAACCTCTCTGGCGGTAGGTGCGTACCTTTGAAGCAGAGTCCCAAACTAGGCTGACGAAACAGCTAGTTGGCCAGTACTCCCTGTGGGTGGTTTTCAAATGGTTTTTCAAACGATATCAGCAGCTCATGATGAACTCCTGTAACCAATCAATTAAATCATCTAGAAACCAATACTTGAAAAACAAAGTCACCCTTTTGGAAAATTCTTCCTAATCGATCTAATTACACAATATTGACCCTTATTGTTTGTCTTTGTTTCTCTACTAATTTCTAGTTTCATTGTCAGTGTTTCTAGTCAGTTGTATGACTAAAATTTTATTCGAACGAGGCTGTCTACTGAAAGTGTTTGATATATATTGATTCTTGTTCACAGGTTTTTGAACCTATCTTGTTGGAAATATTCTACGTGATTCTAAGGTGCTTTGTTTGGTTGATTTCGGTACTGGTGGAACAAGCTGAAGAGGACTGCATAAAAATACAAGAAAGTGTAGATGTTTAATTGGTGGATGGTAACTAGCAGTGGGATCCAGGATGCGCATTTCTTTCCATTTGGGACTCGTCTTCCGGATGTACCTAAATGTCAACCTGAGACCAAGCACTTCGGTCCAATCGATGGAAAAATCTCAAATTCAATTAAAGTGTAGATGTGTTTTTGAAGCCCTATGTTCCACCAAGAACTCAAGGGAGCTAAATGATCTGTCCAGCTGCTTAACAGCATTGTTGAGGTAATTTTGAGCGTCAAGTACATTACTATTATTGTTCAGTAGTATTATTATTATTCTCTTGGATTCCTAGTGGAATATAGGGCTTCAACTGCACGTCTTCACTTGCCACTTCTGTCTTCCTTCTGCTGCGCTTTTCACCTGATTCCATGTTAGTCCATACTATTTTAACTCCTCTCTCTTCACACAATCTCCTCAATGTCACCCACCCTTGCACTGACGTCACACTCGCTGCTTGCTTCCCTTTCGGCCTGGTTCCACTCGATCAATGGCCTGATTCACACGCGATGTCACCCA